AGTGGTGCCATCAAAACATTACCCGGTGCGCAGGTAAATTCACCATTAATGGTTCCAATGGTCCGGCCATTATTATCGGTCCAACGAAAGATACGCTGTAGAACCGACCTCAAGCACTGACAGCTCTCTACAGGACGGAAAGGATAATGTAGATCGTGCGCTTTTTAATCGCTTTTAATTTCGACAGAAGTTAATTTCTAACTTTGAGTAGACCTGTATATTGAAGGATCTACAGTTGCAGGCCGAAAGTTGATACGAATAGTTGGGCCGAAGTCCATCAACCACCGCGTAATATTCAAAAGCAGCCATCAGACAGTCAGTAGCAAAGCTTACGTAATGATTAACCATAATGTCACTTGAGGTACTAGGTAAAACTCTAGACACGTGATTCACTGGCATTCCGCCACTGATCGACAAAGCTGCCAGGGGTCCGGCTCATCGCAGGGTGCCCCAGCATGCCCTGTGTACTTTCCGGCTGATACTTCAGCTTTTTGAATTTCAGCTTTTTATTTCCTCAGAGATTAATTTCTACCTTGGGGTACATCAGTGTATTCAAGTTTATCGGCAGTGGCTGATGGACCTTGGTCCAAATATTCATATCAAGTTTCGATCTACACCTGTAAACCCCTTAATCTATTGATCTATTGCGAGTTAGAGATTAATTTCTGAGCATCGTATCAAGCTAAAAGGTCGAAACTGGTGCTTCTCTCAGGAAGCACACACAGAGAATGCAAGGGGACCTAGTGAAGAGCCGAACCAATCACAGCGGTGCCAAGCAGAGGCAGAATACCGGCAAAACAAGCGTCTGGGCTGTAAGTTCGTACATATACTACCAGTACGGTGAATCGTTAAGTCAAGCGGATTAGTTGAAACGCTAGACAAAGGATAAATGTGCGCATATGATTACTCATTCCTAGTTTTTTTTCAATACCTCCATTTCAGGTCTCTGGAGCCTGCACCTGCAAACCAGAACGAAGCGGAAGAAAATGCGATCAATGTCAACGCACCTACTATGGAGATCCGCGCAATGGAGGTGGATGTAAACGTGAGTACGCTTCGGTGTGGTTTACCACAGTGACTATATAAAAAACCTCCAGATCTCTCTAAAAATCAA